CCGGGGCGCCTGGGTGGCTCAGTTGCTTAAGGGTTCGGCTTCGGCTCAGATCATGATCTCGCAGTTCACGAGTTTCAAGCCCCACGTCGTGCTCTGTGCTGACAGCTCAGAGCCTGGAGCCTGCTTCCGATTCTGTGTCTCCCTCTCTCTCTGCGCCTCCCCCACTCATGCTTTGTCTCTCTCTCTCTCTCTCTCTCAGAAATAAAACATTAAATAAATGTTTTAAGTGTACAAAGATTAATACATGATACTGACTCATACATTAAACAAAAAGAATTTCTGCCTTCATTACAGGCTTGAAATACCCCTTCAATGTCCAAATGGTAAAATATGCCCTAAACAAGATCTAAAAAGTCAGCATCTCTCCACAAAGGGGGCCTGAGCGCCTATGAGCAGATCACTGCTAAGTGATCAAATGTGCCTGTCCGGTCTTCCTGTGATATACGGAACCAAACAGCACTGCACTGCATCTCCTGAAATGCACCTGTTACACAAACAAGAGGTCCCCCTTCACTCTGGCTTAGGTCCCTAAAAAGGAGAGGCCGTTGATTATAGCTCAATATGCAGAAACGAAACACAACCCCCCTTTTTGGGCAATAGTCAGCTTTGGGTGGCAACGCAGCATTTTCCAAAACAGCGTAGCACAAGCCACATCCTGATACCAGCCGAACCCCAGGGGTTCCCGGGGCCCGAGCTCAGGGCCACCCTGCCTTCGGAACACATGGGGAGATAGGGACTTTCCACAGTCTCTTAAAGCACGCTGGGATGGCCTTGCCGGGTTTATAGGAAAACTTACCCCTTGGATTTCCTATTAGCCATCTGGCCCAACACTATTTACGAGATGATCTCTGCTTCCCCCAATGATTTAAAGTATCGCCTCTAGGGGGTGCCTGGGTGGCTCAGTCAGTTCAGCATGCGACTTTGGCTCAGGTCATGATCTCACGGTTCGTAGGTTCGAGCCCTTCATCGGGCTCAGACCCTGGAGCCTGCTTCTGATTCTGTGTCTCACTCTCTCTGCAGCCCTGTCTCAAAAATAAACAAACATTAAAAAAATAAAATGAAGTGTCACCTCTACCAAAATGACCTACGTTTCAGTCGGTCTCTGAATGCCCTTCTTAACCATCTTTTCTCCTGTGCCCTTCATGATATTGCCTTACTTCTGGGTTCTTCCTACCTCTGACAATTATTTCAAAGTCTCCCTCACCCCTCCTTTCCAGGTTTCCCTGCAGGGGTCTCTGTTAGAGGTCCGCCCTGGGTGACCCCCTGCATTTCACGGCTTCGTTTCTCTGCTCACGAGGAAATAAGAATTCTGGGCTGCCCTCTGCGGTCGTACACGTTGGTCACTGTGCAATGGCACCAGGCCAAAGGGGCGAGAAGAAGTGAAATCCATCCTGCTCTCTGCTCGCCAAGCCAGGCACCCACATGGCCCTCCGTACCCTCATCTCTGGCCCTGGGGGTCCCCCCGTGTCACAGCGCATCCGTCCAAACACAGGCTGGCCACCTCTCCAAGGATCCTACACGCGACACGGACTTGTCTTCTCTCCTCCAAACCAGTCCCTCCTTCGCATCCCGCATTCTCGCCGCACGGCTCCATCACACGAGGCAGAGCGCCCAGAGGAGCCTTGAGGAGTCTCCTTTCCCTGAGCTGCTGCAACCTGTCGGACGGATTCCACCTCCTCCTTCAGCCACAGCTGTGGACGTGAAGCTGACCTCATCCTTTCTGTTCTGATTTAGTTTGCGCGGGCCCACGCTTACCGTCCCGGAGCCTTCCCTCTGCCCGCAAGCGGGTCCTCCACGCTCTTCCGATCTCTTCAGGCCTCTACTTTGATTCCTTCTATTGCTTTCTGTTGCCCAGGGGGCCACTTCCCAGCGCCTCCAGGTGCTCCATGGGGTCGTCAGCGGGTCAGACTGTCCCTTGATGTCTCGCCCTTACGTGCAGTGACCCCCGTGTGGAATCGAGTCAAGCGCCCCTCTTCCAAGACTGGTGTGACAGCTGGTAACGCTGGCGCCCCTCTGCCCCTGAGCCCCAGGGGTCAACACGAACACTCACGATGCTCGTGGAGTCTGGTACCTAGGACGGTGGAGCCGCTTCCCGTCCGAATCTGCACCCCCGCAGCCCAGCCCGGCGGCCGGCGCTGTGCCAGGACCCGTCCCGAAGATCCTAAACGGATTTCGATATAAGCAGATTAGCCCGAGAAAGGTAATGCAGATGTAAACCGGGCTCTGAACGAGTTACACTCACACGGGGTGTAAGAACAGGGACAGGTCACCCGAGCGCCCTCGGCGAAGGCATCAGGATTAAGGGACGCCACAGGTGTGTGGGAGAGGGAGACGGGCGGGAAAGGTGCGCGGCGGCTGGAGCAGGGCCATGGCCCCGGCCCAGGTCACATGGCAGGAGAGACCCCGGAGCTGGAGAGAAAGGGGGACGCGGCTGGCCCGGCCAGGGTGAGACACAAAGTCAAATGGCTCCAGGGAGTCAGGAGTTTGGGAGGAGAGCAAGAGACTGCGTCGATAGCGACCTCCCTACAAGAGCGATCAGATCCAAAACCTTCATCGGCAGCCCAGCAGCCAGTCTCAGAAAGCTAGCGGGGCTCCCTGCTCCCTTTGGCTAAGGAAGAAAACCTTTACTATGATGTTCGGGATCTGCACGATCCCTCCAAACAGGACTGTCTCTGTGCCACCAGAAAGGCATTTCCAAGGACTGCCTGGGTGGCTCCGTCGGTTGAGCATTCGACTTCGGCTCAGGTCATGATCTCACCGTTCATGGGTTCGAGCCCCGCGTCAGGCTCTGTGCTGACAGCTCAGAGCCTGGAGCCTGCTTTGTATTCTGTGTCTCCCTCTCTCTCTGCCCTTCCCCTGCTCGCGCTCTGTCTCCTTCTCTCTCTCAAAAATGAATAAGCATTAAAAAAGAAAAAAGAGAAAAAAAAAGAAAGGCATTTCCCATCCCCAACCCTTCATCGATCGGCCAGGATTACTGCGAGCCTAACAGAGATTCTGGGCAAGGAGACAAAGGGCCAGTCCTACGGGACATAACAGAGGGCTTAGAGCGGGGGCGGGAGCTCGAGGGCCCCCCCCCCCTTATCATACAGCCCATGAGCTCCCGAACTAAGATCGTCTTAAGTGCCTGAGAGAGAATCACGCTCGGGACACATAAATGCCATTTGACATTCACATTTCAGTGTCTATAAATGAAGTTTCATCGGAACACGGCTACACTACACTCTGGGTATCATCGATGGCAGCTTACACATGACAAGGACTGAACTGAGACGCACTGACGGAGACCACAGGAGCCACACGAACAAAATCATGTAACTACCGGGCCCTCTGCAGAAGAAAAGTTTGCCAGCCCTCAGCGTAGAGCCTCTTGGGATCATTATATCCCCGGGCCCACGGAGAAACCCTGACCCCCAGGCATGGGCTAACGTCTGAGCCTCAGAAAAAAAGCTACCAGACACGGTCAGTTAAGTACAATGGGATTTTACTACTCCCTTAACGGACAGGGGAGAGTTACGTTAACAGCAGCGGACGCCTGTAACGTCGGATTACACGGATTACACGGCTGTGCTACAAGGTGAGTTCCACTAACGGGTACACGTGCGGAAAGACGCCCACAAGATGCTGCCTGAGTCGCTTCTAGAACACGGATCGTTCTTCCGATTCATTAAAAAGCATAAGCATGCCCATGATAGAGGGTTAGAGGGTACGATTGTCCGCAACGATGTGCACAATAAATAGCTTTAGGGAAGGGACCCACAGAGTTTTACCTTTTCTTGTTTTCATACCCACTGAGTTTCGTAACCAAGAATATACTACTCTCTAATTTAACAAGAGCACAATAAAGTCAACGCAGATTTTACAAAGCCTCTCTTCTCCAGCCACCCGCACTCAGCCCCTCTGCAACAGAGTGGCTGATCCAAGACCCCAAGGACCTCGGGATCATGTGGGTGCAATTTCTGCACCTCCCGGGCGGCAGCTCGTGCATAGAAGTTCGGCTGAACCGTCGAGGTCGGACCACAGGGCAAGGCTATTGATGGGTTTGTTTGGAGGAAGCTTAAGATTAGAATGACCAGAAATAGTTCTACTTCCCCTTTCCTAGAAACCCCAGTTACGGCTTCAACAGGCACACGCCCCTCCAGCCCATGGAAGGCGGGACGTGCGCGCACCAGCGACTCCTAGTGGCCACTGGCGTCTCTGCAGCCCCGCAGGCTTGCAATCCAGACAAATTAAGGGTCCCACTGGGTGGGAAGAGGTGACGGTTAAGTCAGGGGGGTGCAGACAAGGGAGGGGAAGGACCAAGCCTGGGCCAACACGAAGATACGGACTGCATTTCACATCCCGCCTTGGCACACACCTGTGATTCGCCCCAAATCGAACCTTCTGGGGAGGTCAAGAAGCAGAGCCCTTTGGCTGCATTTGCTCTGCCCCGCCCCCCACCACCTTGTTCTAGAACTGACTTCTATGAAACTGCCCCGTTGCCTTCTTGCATCCCCAGCCTGCAGCCCGTATGCTGGGCGGTTCTGGAGTCACCTTGAGGCCCACCATAACTGGGTGCAGGGAGGCATGGTCCTAACTCAGCTCAGAGGTTCACAGGGGACCCGCGTCATCTATTAGAAAAAATAATTCACAAGTAGCCCCAGTATTGCCCAACGAGCGTCCCCAGAAATGCGAGCTAGTGGGATACTTTGGGGGAAGACGGTGCAGGGAAATTAGAGCAACGCCACACCCGCGACCCCCGTCTGGAAGCTTCTGTCTGATGAGCACCTTCTATGCTCCGCGATGGGCCTACAGTCGCTAAACCTGGCTGTTAGTTTCCAGTGATGACCCCCCTCCCCATCGGGCCCTGACCCCCAGCACCCAGCACCGTGGGGAAAGCAAGAGACCCTGCAGCCAGATTTCCGGAGATGCCAGAGGGAGACAGAAGCCCCGGGGGGCGGAGGGGCTGGTGCAGGGTGCCCCCAGGGTGCCCCCCGGACCCCCCCCCCCGGAGCGGGACTCACCATTGGTGTTCGTGTTGACATAGTAACGCCGACCTTGCGGAGACAAGTAGCTCTGCCAGCCAGGCGGAAGAATGACAATCTGGCTTTCCTCTCCCGGCGGTGGGGGGACCATTCCAGGCTTCTGCGGAGAGGAGAGAAAAGGTCACATGCGGTGGGCACGGTGGGGGGGGTGCTGTCGGGGACAAGGGCCTGCACCTGCGCTTGCTCGGGGTGCCCGTCACTCTGCACACCCCTACCGCGGAATCCGAAGCCTGAACGGCCCCCCAGGATGCCCAGTTACAGCAGCAGACGGGGCCGAGGCCGGCTGTGCGACCCTTCCAGAAGTAATTAACGCACGTCTCAGCAGAGCGCGATGTAAAAGCTTCTCGGACAACGCCGAGAACAGATGAAGAGCGAGGTGCGGCTCTTCTGGTCCAGCGTCCAAATCTCTCAGGGAGATCTGGAAAGAACCGGGCTCAGGAGCCAAACCACGGCTCCCTTCTGGTCACGCGCACTCACGTGTGGTTTAATTTGTTTGGCCACGAATAGCAGTGCTCTTCTTCAATATAAGAGTCAGAGAGGGGGGTGCCTGGGTGGCTCAGTCGGTTAAGTGCCCAACTTTGGGTCGGGTCATGATCTCACGGTTCGTGGGTTCGAGCCCCACGTAGGGCTCTGTGCTGACAGCTCAGAGCCTGGAGTCTGTTTCTGATTCTGTGTCTCCCTCTCTCTCAGCCCCTCCCCCAATGGTGCTCTGTCTCTCTCTCTCTTTCAAAAATAAACATTAAAAAATTTTTTAAATTTCTTTAACAAAAATAAAAACCAGAGGGGCGCCTGGGTGGCTCGGTCGGTTGAGCATCCGACTTTGACTCAGGTCATGATCTCACAGTTCGTGAGTTCGAGCCCCGTGTCGGGCTTTGTGCTGACAGCACGGAGCGCACTTTGAATCTTCTGTACCCCTCTTTCTCTGCCCCTCCCCCGCTGACACTCTTCCTCAAAAATAAACGTTAAAAAAATAATAAAAATAAAAATCAGAGGGGCATCTGCGTGGCTCAGCCGGTTAAGTGCCTAACTTTGGCTCAGGTCATGATCTCGTGATCTGTGAGTTCAAGCCCCACATCAGGCTCTGTGCTGACAACTCAAAGCCTGGAGCCTGCTTCAGATTCTAGGTCTCTCTCTCTCTCTCTCTCTCTCTCTCTGTCTGCACCTCTCTTGCAGTTCTTTCTCAAAAATTAATAAACATTAAAGATTTAAAAAATTTAAAAAATTTTTAAAAATAAAAATCAGATAAAAACATGCATAGAATAGAGAGGGAAAGCAGGTGTAGACAGAGGTTATAACAGAGGCAGGATTAAGGGCAATTTTTCTTCTCTCTGCCTTACTTCTCACTTGCATCTAAATTTCCTCCGAATGACAAAAATAAGTAGTTTGCAAAGGAACATTTAAAAATAAGGAAAGAGGGTCCAAATTAGCCCACACGGTGGCTGTGCCTTCTGAAGGCAGTAAATGGATATTTTTTTAGTTTTTTTTTAATGTTTTATCCATTTCTAGGAGGGGGAGAGAGAGAGAGAGAGAGAGGCAGCGTGAGCAGGGGAGGGTCAGAGAGAGAGGGAGTCACAGACTCCGAAACAGGCTCCAGGCTCCGAGCTGGCAGTCAGCACAGAGCCCGACGCGGGGCTCGAACCCATGAACCGCGAGATCATGACCCAAGCAAAAGTTGGACAGCCAACCGACTAAGCCACCCAGGCGGCCCAGGCAGTAAGTGGATTTAACAACACGGGGAGAGTAGGCTGTGGATTCCTCAGCAGACCAGGACTCCGCTTCAGACGGATGACAACTCATCTGCTCCTCAACGTCCTCGGCGTCTCTCAGCCGCGCCCACACAGGCACTTTGGGTCACTGATGAGGACTGCTTAGGAAACAACCAGGTGACACATTGAAAGCAAGCAGTCCAGAGGCGCCTGGGGGGCTCAGTCCGTTATGCATCCAACTTTGGCTCAGGTCACGATCTCGTAGTCTGTGAGTTCAAGCCCCGGGTCGGGCTCTGTGCTGACAGCTCAGAGCCTGGAGGTGCTTCAGATTCTGTCTCCTTCTCTCTCTGCCCCTCCCCCACTCACACTGTGTTTCTGTCTCTCAAATATAAATAAAGATTAAAAAGCAAAAATAGCAAGCAGTACAGACACGTGGCTCCCTGGCCACCCTGCTCTGTATTAAGGCTGCAAAACCGTGTACACGTTACATCAAGTCGATCCTAGATGCTCCCAGGGCCCTGAGCAAACACGGCCTCCCCGCGGCCAGCTTCTGTCTCCACGCCTCTGAACCCGCGGTGCGTCTCTGAGTCAGCACAGAAGGCTCCGGACACTACCAGGGGCCGGACGGCGGCCAGGAGCCCCTCTCGCCAGCAGGGCACGTCCGGCACACACCTGGGCCTCCAGACACCTGCTGTGGCTGCTCCCACACTGGAAGGTGGTCCAAACACACAGCAAACAGCCTTACGAGGAGTCAAGTGCGCAGGCGTGTGTGTGTGTGTGTGTGTGTGTGTGTGTGTGTGTGTGTGTGTATAAAATATCCCACATACGGGAGATGTGCCCCCTGGCTGAGCGGGGCTAGAAGTCATATAGGAATAAGAAGGCTACCAGGCTTCACTTAGAGAGGAACATTCTAGAACCAGAGGGTAAGACGGCGGGCTGCTTCTGTCGAGTTGGGTACTTTAGAGCATCCGAGATGGGAAGGCCACGTTTGGTGCTTTTCCCAGCAGCCCCGGGGAGGAAACGGGCAATTGTTAAAGGGTATTAAGCAAGGCTCGGGGACGGACGTGGCCTGAAATAGGGTACAGAGCAGAGAGAGACCTAGAAGCAAAGGGGAAACGGCGCTCCGGCCTGGGGCTCAATCCTGACTCAGCCCCTGAGCAGCCACGTGACTTGGGGAAGTGACAACCAACTGCTTTTATCTGCACACCCACAAACCGAGGAGGGAGATGGGAGCCTTGTTGTGGAAGGTGCCATGGAGATGAAGGATAACACACTCGGCAAGGAGGGGGGTGCCCGGTAACGCCCGGTAACGGAGGGCTCCCAGCGAGAGGGGCAGTGAGTCCGGGCTTCACGCGGCCTCTGGCCCCCCCCCCCAGGGTGCGACGTTCAGGGGCCCACGGCCCAGCCTAGCAGCACCACGTCTGAAACGAAGTCACCGTTAACGATCTCTTCTCCCCGGACCGGTTTCCAAGACCGTGCAATTCTAAACGCACACGCACACCCGCCGGGGAGGCTAACGCGTTAAGCAGCTGACGAATACGGAGGTGGGGGGGCAGGAGACGCATCGCCCCTCAGAGGGGCTGGTTGAGGGAGCTGAGCACACTTCTGACCCCCCACGGTCCCCCTGTGACTTAGCAAACAATGACACCCGTCCCGTCACGGCAGCAAGGTGCTTTTCCTCTTCGGAATGACTCTAGGGGCAGATCAATCGGTTAAGCGTCCGACTTTGGCTCGAGTCATGAGCTCGTGGTCCGTGAGTTCGAGTCCCACGTCGGGTTCGCTGCCGTCAGTGCAGAGCCCGCTCTGGATCCCCTGTCCCCCTCTCTCTGCCCCTCCCCATCCCTCAAAAATAAACAAACATTAAAAAAGAATGACTCTAGGGGATTTCTCTAACTCTTGGGATCAGACTAAGCCTTGGCTTCCATTTGAGGACACCGTGACCACAGAGGCACCGTGACTGTCCCGAGCTCCAGCCGTCTGGGAAATGCAGGTTCCTCCCCGTCTGGACCCTACGGAAGGTGACTGTTGGGGACGGCACCTCGGATTCTGAGCCAGGAAGGGCCAAACTCAGCCCATTTCCAAAACCGGCCCATGTAGCAAAGACCGTCTCCCACCCCCCTCCAGCACGCTGCCTGTGTCCCCTGTGCTCTGCCCCCACCCACCACCCCCCTGCACCGTGACAGCCACAGGCACGCTCTCCCAGAAAGAAGCGCCTCCTGTTGGTGACCTGAAGCACATCAGAAGTCAAAAGACACGGACACAACTGGGTTCGTACCCAGGAGAATTGAAAATGGCACCCGACGCTTATGGCCGATCCACATTCACAAGCAGCAGCATCTACAATAGGCAGAAGGCAGACGCCACCCAAGGCTCCATCACGGATGAGCGGGTCAACAAAATGGGCTGCGTCCAGCCAAAGAAACACCCGCCGTCAAAAGGAACGAGGTGCGGGTACACGCCACAGCACGGGTGAACCCACGTGCCGCAGGCCAGGGACACAAAAGGCCACGTAGTGTATGCTTCCATTTATATGAAATGCGCCGAAGAAGGGCGTCCAGAGAAACAGGAGGCAGATTAACGACTGCCAGGGGCTCAGGAGGATGGGCACAGTGCTTCTGCTTTGGGGTGATGCAAATGTCCTGAGAGCAGCCAGTGGTGACGGCTGCACAGTGCGGGTGTGTAACTGTCGGCCCTGATACGTTTCATGTCAGGTGTATTTCGCAGCTAAACAGAACTCATTTTCAAGCTGCGGAGGAGGCAGAAGTCGGACTCCCCACGTGCAGGCCCGCGTTGAGGACGCCCGAACCACCCACATTACCTCATCGCTCATGGCCACGGAGGGACGGGCCTCCTGGGAGAGCTGCCCCGGAGCCATCAACACGGATGGAGAGCAAGGAACTACCCAATAATTATGGTCTCTGTCGAGCTGCTTCTTCTAATTAGTTTCCTTCAAGTTAAATCCTTTCCTTCCTTTCGCTAGTCCTGCGGCTTCTGCTCTTCCCTCCCGGCAGCTCCTTCCCATAGGAATAGAAACTAGCAAAGGAAGTGACACAGGCCCAGAGATTGGGGCCCCACCTACAAGGAACAAGATCAGATAGTGAGAGTGGAGGGGGTGGGGGGAGAGGTGAAAACAGTTTCCTCCAAGTCTTAACCTGATGCACACACAGCATGGCTTTGTGGGAATCATAACATCCCGCCTCTTCCTCCAGATGGGCCATCCGTCTGAGTGCAAGGCTGGATTTCAGCCTCCCTTTCGTCCTTTTGTTCAGTCAACAACCCGGTCAACTGTACATGGAAACCCATCCTGGGAGAATCTGAAGGAAACTACAGATCTTCTGCCCCTCCAAATGGAGTCATTTGTGCACACCCCCTCACTCTATTTCCGACAGAGCAT